TTAGAGCTATATATAGCCTCTGGAGGCAGTGGCATAGACGTATGAGGGGTGGCATCTGCTGACGCTGGCTCAAGTGGTTGCTCAAGTGGTTGCTCAGGTGAATGTAAGGGCAGTGGCGACAGCGAGAGTTGAACGTCCATTTTCGCTATGTAGCTATGTCAGGCGTGCATTGATTACAGTCCAAAGTACAGTGCTGGTAGATGTAAATGCGACGCGCGTGCATTTCGGTGGTGGGGGGGCGTGAAAACCCGCGCTTAGTCAGCTCTAAACTGACGCCGGGGCGTCAGTGTATTGGAACCCAGAGTGAGGCTTCCAGGTTACATAAAGAGTGTTCAGCAGAATCCTCGGATCATCGGAGTTTGACAGCCTTACACTACAAAAGTCAAAAGTCTAGATTGTCTAAGCATTGGAATCATCTGAACCTTCATACCGGGCTTTGCTGAAAAGCTTATCTGAAAGCTTGTCTGTCAGTAAATCACGTAACTCAGGACAAATGGAGGTTCCTGATCTTGATGTTCAACTTAGCCTCTTTGCAGTCAATAATAATGATATTATTTTGCATGATAAAGTATGAGTTGCATTACAGGAACTGCTTCGTAGCTTGACATTGGAATCGATATGCGAACTTATTGTATCAGACTCATTTGCAAATTCCTGCTAACGCGCTTGTTCTATGCCTCATGATGGCAAATATGGCAAAGCTTTCGTATGTTTACTCTGCAACTTTCAAAAGCTTGTGCAACTTAACGCCGAAATCTATCGTTTCTATCCAGAAGGACATTCAATATTTCTACCTTGAGCATTGCTTTGATTTTCAACACTCTTCATATTTAGATGGTCCCCTTGAATCCCTTTACCCAAGTACAGTCTTAACATAATCGAACCTGCCAATATCCCGGTATATTACTAGTGTGATACAATTGTGAGGTGTACTAGTGTGAGGTACTTTGTACTACTAATCCGTCTGATAATCTAGCTCATCTCGGCTAGCTAGAGTTCCTAATGCTTCTATGCAAGTTCAATTCTGGCTTTAGCCTCTCCATAATACGTATATGCACTTGTGTATGAGTGTTGATCGAAGTACCAGTGGATGACACTCAGAACAGCATTGCATATCAACCCGTGGAGGAAGAGTACAGTCTAGTAGATCTGACTATTATGCAAAGGAAAAAAAGCGTGAATTGAAAAGGTATATATTCCGTCAAGTATCCAGTGAAATATTCTCCATCATCTTCTGATACACAATCATTTCCGGATCTTAGATTCTTCTACTACTATACCTCATCAAAACCCTTCACATCTCTCTCAAGCCAAATATCATCTTTTACCAACCACAAAAATGCAATTCATCAACATCCCAACTGCTCTCCTCCTCCTCACCTCTGTTCTCTCTGTCACTGCTGCTCCTGTTGCGCTTGATGGCCTTCAAGCCTCCTCGTATGTTCCCCCTCCATGATCAGCTCTTCTCTGCTAACCTCATCCCAATAGTCAGTACGAGAAGTGTAAGAAGGAGCTCACTCCTGAAAACATCAACAAAGACATCGCTAGGCACAATGGCCAAACCCTCTCTCCAGAGGAAACGCAGGCGGATATCAAAAAGCATGCCGCAGAATATGGACTTGACAAGCCCAAGGGTGGTCATTAAGGGAGAGAGAAGCAAATGAGATGGATTACGACATTGGAAATGGGGGAAGACTGGTCTTTGCTTTGGGTTGGGGAAGAACAGATGTTTATATGTGTTGGAATTGTATGCATGTTTTTGGTAGTTCGTGCCTGATAAAATGGTGGTCTGAAAAATATGTATTTCAGTCGACTCAGAACTTCCTTCATATGTTGCTTTTTATTGTGCTTGTAGGCTTTTATGGTACATAGCCGTTGATATGGTGTTAACAACAAGATTACTCAATCTTCTCGTGTTTGTATAGATGTTTGACGTGGAGAAGGGGGCCCTCGCTCAGGGAAGCAAGGGAATAAACATCGATCATCCCTACTATTTATACTGAGAGTATACATAGTCCCTTCGCAAAAGCAGAAAATTCCGAGTGTATCTACTAGTGTATCACAGGATATTTTTGAAGGTATTCTTTTTGTAAATTATATATTTCTCCAGATTTTTAGGTCGCGTAACATCCTACTACTTTTGTGAAGGGACGGTAAGAACGTAAGATACCTGGTCGTTACTCTATACGCACCTCTCTTAAAATAAATTTATCCTTAGAGCGTCGGACAACTAAAATAGTCCTATAATTAGTTTAGAATAACTATTACTACTTCGTTTTAATTAGCCTAAGTATAATCTTATTTCGTTTATACTAGAAGTTTAGTATAAAATCTTTCTATATAGTATATATAGAGTAACGACTACGTCTCTTACCTAAAGGTTCTTAACCGAGTATATAGTACTATAGTAGATAGGAGAAGTGGTAGCGAAGAGGCCTTTATTCGGGTAACCTAACTTAAAGTATTTATTTATTATAATATCTTTAGGTAGTACTAGTATAGGGTACTAACTTAATTTCCTAATAGTACTTCTTTTATTACTTAAATAAAAAACCTAAAGAGGAAGAATAATATAGAAAAGTTTACTTACTACCGGCCCTTTATTACTTACTTTATAAACGATATATAACTTATAGGTAGAATGCCTAATTAAGTTTAGTTTTTATATAGTACTCTAGCTAATTAAAATAATAGATCGCTACTAGCTAAACCTAATTAGGCGTTCTACCTACTAGTTATCTATTATATATTATAAGATACCTAAAGTAAACTATACTAAAACCGATATTTTAACCTTAGTTAGAAACTCTTTTAGATTAGTAATATTGTGACAGACGTGCTTCAGGTAGAACTCAGAACAATTAACACTCTATTCTTAGGACAAAAGACGAGGAAAGAAGGAGAGCTCGAGAGAGCTGGGAACTAATTACAGGTCGTGCGCGCTAGCGCCTCGCTAAGCGAGCATGTGACATCCAGCCCTCGCGACCATAACCGTCACAAATATAAAGTATATTTAAAATAGCGGAATAAAGTAATCAGATTAAAAGAATAAAAATATACTTACTAAAATTTTTATATAAGCCTTAGTTAAGTGTTTTAATAAGAGGCTAAAATAAGTAAGGAAAATATTTAATAGAATACTAAAACCTTACTAATATAAGCTTTATATTTTCTATTATTTTTATTAAATAAAGCTAGAAAGAACGTTTTATTTATTTAAATAAGTTATGTTTATTTCTTTACTAAATATAATTATAAAGCATAGTTATATTAAGTTATTAATTAGTTTATTTGTAACGAATACTCAAACTGGCTAACTAAACTTGGCTGGGTGTTCGCTGGTTGGTATGCTATGATAAGAAGAAGACTATCGGGTTGTTCACTTGGAAGTGAACTCGTTACTTGTATCAAAGATGTCAAACTAATGTGATAAGATTGATAACTAAGTTGAGCACGAAGCTCCTATCTAATGGCAGACGTGCCAGTCTTATATAGAACCTTCGTTCTCTGCTAGATCGCGTACATCGCTTTCGTCGCTCGCGACTTGGGCGATATAGGCGATCATGATCACGTGACTCTTCTTATACTAAGAAATCCCTGGATCGCTTAGCTAGCCTAAGCATCCCTATTTGCTATAAG